AATTTTAATTATAAGGGATAGTATGCGCTAAGACTTTTGACAAGCATGTATGTCAAGAAATAAAAAGAATAATACAAAGAAATATTAGTCAAATATTTAAAAAATATATTATAGTCATGTGTTTTCGAGTCTATAAAAATGGATATAAACTAAATAAAATTCTAATAGAAAACGTAAAAAAAAATTAAGTCTAAACAAAAAGGAACATTTCCAAATGATTGATAACAATTCAATTGCACTTACTAATTATCATGAAAAAGCACATGTCTTTGAAAAGCGCGATATCTAACATAAGATTTTGAACATTTGGTACAAGTATAGGACTTCCCATGGGAATTGTATAATACATTATGCGTTATCCGTAAATGCTGAGCTAATGATGATTTGTGTCTGTAAATATGTTTATAACATATATTTTATATATATTTATAACTATAAAAGAGAAAATAAGTTTTCAATTAATTTTTGCATTCTTACCTGTATGTCTTACTGCAAATATGACATGTAAAATTTTCCTTATAAAAATCACAATAGGTAAAATGTTTCCATAATTGTCTTTTATTAAATAGTTTCCCACACTGATAACACTGGATAACACATAAATCTGTAGGAAAAATATTTATTATTCATATATATGAAATAATTTATATAAAAGAAACTGAAAGTAATAATTTATTTTAATTATTTCACTTTACCTTTTTTATTTTCTTGCATTTGATATTTGGAGTTGAAAACAGAAGGAACATCGGTCAAGATAGCGGTTTGAATGGGTGCTTCTTTTTCAGAAGTAATTTTATTTTCCTTCATTGATAATTTGTCCAAATTTGGATAATTGGAGATATTCATTTCATTAAAATCTCTTATATTTTCCATTCTAGCTGTTCCAGTGGAATGTGTAAGTTCCGTAGAATGTGATTTTATATACATATCTTGTATCCTATCAATGTGGCAAGATTGTAAATTGTATGATTTACTCGGTTCTGTGGATGACATATTTGCAATGCTTTCAACTAGCTCATCTTTTGTACTATTATTGATAGTACATACATTCTTCTTAATGTTCTTTTCCTCTCTAAACTCTTCTCGGAAAAGATTCTTATCAATGACCAAATTATCGCCAAATAAATTAAAATCATTATCAACATAAAAATCATATATATTAGTATACAAATCACACGTGAGATCTGTTTCCATGTCGTCGCTACTTGAGGTAGAGGTAGAAATTGGATCTTCGTGAAATATAAGATCTTTGTCATGTGACATGCAATTTGCACAGGTACAAGAATACAATACTTTAGATTCATATAAAAAATTACAGCCAATATACCTATCTATCAACTCTCCTTGTGAACTATTTTCCATCGTTGGAAATTCACAACTGGTAATATCTCTTTGAATAATTTTATTCTGTGACGTGTTGAAATCTGTTGATATGAAAGAAACAACAGGATTTGCTCCATATTTTTCCTCAACACCGTAAGCCTCGGTGTTGCAATAGGAAATGTCAGATGAATTAACCGAATTTGTTGCAATGCTATTTATGATATCGTTATTCACATTTATATTTATAATGTTAGGTCCAAACGTGGGCTGTGTATGTATATTATTATTGAAAAAATTATTAGTGTTTTGTACTATAACGTTCTTCATATTTACATCTGGAATAGCAGTTAAAGTGTTAAAATTTGTCCTTTTACGTGACATCTGCTTTCTGCTGCCAGATTTACGAGTCGTTGCTTTTTTCGACTTTTTGTTATGCAATCGTTTTTTTTGCTTATTGCTATATTTCAATCTCTTCATTGATGTATTTTTCTTGCAATTTGAAACACGTGATGTATTAATCTTTTGCGGCATATTTATATTTTTATTATTGTTGCAATCAAGAGTGTCATATTGCACGTCCAATGGATTGTGTACTTGTTTTCTTTGGTGGTGCGGCTTTGGTGATGCAGTTGTATTACAATTAGCTTCCGTATCTAAGTCAATGCTGGACAATGTCGTGTTTAATTCCAAGGAACTATTTACATCCTCTGCACTTGATACGAAGAAGGTATCGGTCTTAGTCAATGATTTGTGATTTCTAGATGTTCTTATGTTACTGTTCCTTAAAATATTAGGTAAATTCCGTATAGACTGTGCATTATGCAATGCAGCTTGATTCGCAGTAGTTTTCATTCTGATGATATTTGCATCTTTTACAAGAACAGTTTCAAGAGACTTCATTGAAGACGAATCAGTTTCTGTATTATTCATCTTTTTCCTGGTATCACGGTGTCTGCAAAGTTTATTGTGATGTGCACAAACCTTCAGCAGTAAACAAAATAATTAATAATAATAGCTCTACAACAAATATTTCTATTAATATATCTATTATAAAAAAATCTCATCACAGATACAAAAGATAAAAGCGGTAATAGCATATTGCATTATTACTGACTATTCAAATTCGAAAAAAAAATTCCTTGATTTTCAAGGATATGCAATTTATTAAAAATTCCAGGTGAAAGTATTTCTATGTAAAATAAAAATATTTTTAAAGATATCTTATAATTATATATAAATATAAATATATACTGTAAATTTATAAATATATATTGTGCAAAATTTTTAATATTTTTCATTCATAAAAATTTATAAATCATAAAATTACGAATCACTCAAATTAAATTTGAAGAATTTTGAAAAAAAATTATACAAGGATTCTAAAAAAATAAATATTTTATATAAAATTTTCAAACTTTATCTTCAAAAGATACAAACAAAAAATTAGATAATGTATAATCGGTAAAACAAAATTCCACCTTTATAAAACTATTAAAATAAATATTCATTTTCATTAAACAAAATTGTACCCAATACGAAATTATTGCCTTCAATAATTGATTAATTTTAAAATCAGTATATTTTGATATTTAGAGGTGGGACCGTTAACAATTCAAGTCAATAAACTCTTAATTATAATATAAAATATTCGAAAATATTAAAAAAAGCAACTTCAATGAATTTATCATTGATTCGTTAAATTCATAATTATATAATTTAATTAATAAAATGCTTTAGGATCAATATTTCAACCTGCTATGTTTATATCTAGTTTATCAAAAGTTACAGTAAATATAATGAATGTCTATGTCAACAAAATGTTTTACACATCTACACGTTTTACAATCGATTCATAAATAATGCTCGACATTTGTTGCATTTACATAATTTATCTAAAGGACTTTTTCTACATAAAATTCTTTTATAACAATTAATAAAAATTAATTCATAAAATCTACAAAATGTTATCTAGAAATTATTTTTAAAAAATTAACAATTTAAATTTCATAAATCTTAATATTTTATCGATATTTTGAAGTAATTAATTAAATTAACTTTAATTTAATTTAAGATCTATTCCGCATTAAATATTTTATTTTCGACGCAGAATCAAACAAGTAGACCTGATTACACATTCGAATTTAAAAAAGATGCAAAGAACTGCAAAATTGGAGATCCACGAAAAAATCGTCAGGTTTCAATACGATTCTCATAAAAAAGAAAGTGACTCGAAAATTCCCGTTTATAT